TGCGTTCTCTCGAATATCACTTTATCGTCGTAAAGTTTTTTCATCTGCAAAAAATGTTTGTTCATCATCTACTTGAAACATAACTAACTCAATGTCAATGTTTCGCAGTTTATTTAGCTTTGACACCTTCGACGACGAACTGATTCCAATTTCTTTCTGTAAAATTAAACGTAAAAATAAAACGAAGCAAAAGAAATCGCACCTTTCCGAACGAGATCGGCCCTTGTCGTTGACCATTTTTGTCCGTATAATACCATTCCGGTGTTCCAGCATCGCTCTCCGGTCCCTTGGCTGCTTCCAACAAATTTGACTGCACCTGAAATCAACAAACAATCGATCAAAATCACAAAAACTTGCCCTGTAAAATGAAAAAACAAACCTGAACTCAATAATAGTTCCTGCAAAACTGTTCAAATGAAACTCTCTCCCTCCTAATTTCTCATCGAATATGAATAGCCAAAAACATAACAACTCTTTAAAAAAAGACCAATAGGATCTAATTCGTTACCAATGACATATGATAAAACACAAAGAAGTGATAACAATAACGATAACAATACCTGTCCATGAAGTTTAGCACGATTCACATGCAAATGAGCCAATACGGCCAAATCGACCAGAATCGACAACGCCCCAGCACAGATCAGCTCACGAACATTCTCTTTGTTTTGCGCTAACTTACTCAATAAAAACACCTGAAATGTTACCCAAAAAAATGTTACAAAAACACGCAAAAAAATCCGGAACCTCAAAATTTCATATCGAAAACGCAATATTCTGAATTCGCAATTCACACACACAATTTCCATGCTCCACAACAACTGTGCACGATTGACATGTGAACAGATCGGAGCGATTTCTTGCTTGCAATTTCTTTCCGCAAACCCCAAAAAAATTTTTTGGTTCCATTGAAATTATTTTCGCAACTGAAAAATTCCGCAGGAAATCGCCACCCACCAAATGGTCTCGTTCGGCTGCATTCGTGCACTTCGCCAGCATATTCACGATGTACTTCGAGTCAGAGAATGCTCCGATGGTGATGTGATGTCGTCCGTACGTTATGGCCATTGCTTTCAAACACAAACACCGCATTTCGCTTTTCGCAGACAGCAAAAAACGGTGATAGACGTTGTTGAAAAATTCACCACTGAAATTAT